TCGTCGTCCTGATCAAGAATATATATACTTTATGGGGTCTGCGATGATTCCTTCTTTTTCCTGCTTTTACACTAAACCATTATACCCTAATTTCCCATTTTCAATGGGTTCAGGGTATAAAAACCGAGATCATTACGGGTTGATTCGGCTACTCCAGCAGAGTTTTCTTTTGTATTTTCAGTAGCAGACTCTAATCTAAGCTAATATACCTTTCAGTCTCAGAGACTTCTCCGGCTCGCTGCCATCATCATGCAGCAGCAGATCCTCATTTTGGGCATCCAAACGCTCCGTAACTGGATCCACGGTAACCAGCTCGAATATATTGTTCGTGCGATTGAGTATCTAATGGGGGATAGGAGAGGAGAATGTAAGCCGGAGAAAGCAGAGGCAGGGGGACTAGCGAAGCACATACAGTTTGAAATTTGAATGCAATTAGCGGGCGCACGAGGTCGAACCAGGCTGTAATCTTCTTGCCTAGCAGCTCGGGCAGGATAACCATCAAAGAGTTGCCAATACTGCGCACCACCATATCAGCGCTGCAGGCAGGGATTAGAGTTAGTTGTTGCTAAAGCCCTTTGGAGGTTCGTGTAATATATTCAGACAGCTTTGCTTACCCAAACACGATGCAGAACGGAAATATCTCAAAGAGCACGTGCGCACTGATGGGCAAGTGCTTCTCCTCGCGGGTCATGGCCAGGGAGGCGAGGGTGAATGCGCGATTATCGAACGTCAGCTGAAAGGTCACGTGGACCGTATCAAACAGAATCTCCTCACGGACCAGCTCAATGTGCATCTCCTTGTGGTAGAAGTAGCGCGCCACCTCTCGTATCTGCCCCATCGTGTAGTAGACAAAGCCCCGCCTCTTGGATCTGTAGTGAAGTGTGAGTCCCTGTTTGGTCTCGTTCTCACATATGAAACTGGGCGCACGCATGCGTGGGTATGAGAACTTCAGATACTCATGCAGATTGTCCAGGCCGTTGAGAAAGTCACGCATGTGCCGTCCCAGTACAGACAGCACCCGATCGTATCCATATTGACCCACAAAGCCAACAAAGTAGACGCCCAAACGGTCCATAAACTCGCGCTCCGAAACCCCCAGAACCTAAGAAAAACACAAAATATACAATAGTAGATAAAAAATTATTTCATTTGTGATTAAAAATAATAAACATAAATTTGATTAATTGTTATTTAGAATTTTTACAAACATTTTTTATGTTATATTTTATA